GGTTATGATGTCTTTGCGATTCAGTTTATAGATAAGAATGAAGAGGGAGTTTATTTTCTATAGGTTATGATGTCTTTGCGATTCAGTTTTATGGAGAGTGTTGGTCAGGACCTGATGCAGGTTTAACCTATGATGAGTACGGACCATCTCCCGATGGGTGTGTCAATAGTACTGTGGGGGCTGACTATACTAACTTTGTATACAGATTTCAAGGTATTATTGAATTAGCTATGGGGCTTCGCTGACTAACGAACTATACAGGAAATGGTAGAAGATTTCTTTATTTTTTTAAGCTCTCCTTTCTAGTTTAAATTTCTCGTTAAGTGTTCTCCGCATGGGTATCCAATTTCATCTTGTGAAACGTTCAAATATTAGATTTTTAGTACTATATATAACTTTCAAACTTCTGATGGCTCTTCCACAGGGAAGTGACTATCTGTTACTTTTATCTTTAGATAGCCCTAATAAGCTAATAGGTGGTCATATTCATGGTTGCCGTTCACACTTTTTTTCAGCCTTGCCATGAGTTCACCAGTCCTGGCGCCGAGAAGATTTTGCTCGTGTCCTCATGTTTTGTTGTCATATGTTGTAAAAGACTAATATGAAGTAAAATCTCAGTATTGTTTCTTGACTATATTCATCTTTTTATACTATATGGCCATATACCCGTCGTTGCTCGATAGCATGTCGGTCTTGCGTTCTGAGCCGACCAAATTGAAAGAGAGTTACTACTTGATGAGTATGTCGCGATAAATATCCATAACACTTCGGAAACAAGAAAATCACATCAAAATAATGAAGGTTAGTAAGTCATCTTTGTGCAAAAATACAAGGCCAACTTATAGGAGACTTATAGTCTGGCAAGTGGCTGCATTGCTGGMCGAAAACACAGCAATTTGTTGTTAATACTTTGAGGTAACGTAGTTTCCCTGGAGCACCTGGTGACTATCTGCCTGCAGGCTGCACGCAAGAGAAAAATGATCAATAAGATATCATAATAATCGTAATAACCGACAATTTTACTCGTTCATCCTAAAAATGTCATTCACTCTCCAAAAAAAAAATGTACACAAACCTCTTCCACTCGATGGACGATACCAATACGCACGCTCAGTGTGTGACCTTTAGAGTTGGGCATCACAGCTTTGACGCATTTGTTTAAACTGTACCAAGAAGTGACTGAGATATTGCATCAGTAAGGTAAGTGAACATTGTAAAATAATGCCAAGCCGATAGATAATCAAACAGAATTAATAATAACAATTAATTCAAACAGAATAATCAATGCAGACAGAAAATATGTTTTTTTTTATTTTATTTCATTTTATGAACGATTCAAAGACAAAGTGCGAGTATTTCTGTTGTATTTATTTTTTTCATTATGGTAGTTAGTATTTTAAGGCATCTGTTAATGAATCGGTACCGACCGACGCTACTCTTGGCTACTGCTACGACACAACCAGAACAAACTATAAGAGTCTTGTTGTCAGTCCAGCAAGGAAATATCAGGTCAGCTCTGCTACTGAAATGAGGTGATGACAAGCCACAGTTKTACATTTTATTTCATCTATCGGTATTCATAGTAGACAGAACGTTTGGTGAATTAACACTTTATTGCTCACATTTCGAGGAAATTTGACTTTGATTGATCAGATTTAGTGCAAATATGTCGTCAAAGGAGAGATGTTTGGACTTTTGCTGTCATAGCAACCATTGTATTCATCCAGACAAGAACGAGGAAATAAATAGACCACTAGAAYCATGCASAATAGAACGTCACTACTGAACATCGCTTAAGCAATTTATCAGTTGACAATTTATCAGTTGACACATAAGCATTAACTCTTTTTAACTGAAATAAAAAGGAAATATTACTCTACTTTTTTAGTCATACAAAGCGTAATTTTTCTGATTTCCCTCGAATTTATATATTTGGCATCAAAAAGGAAATGTTTATTTTGAGTTGTAAAAACAGTTGTCGATAATAAGTATTCACATACCGCGACATCGTGCCAGTCAGTTTGTGTTGGCCCATCCCATACTTATATTCTTTGAATTCTTCATTCGGCATATAACCAGATCTTTGATCTCTTCTGTGACTAGATAACTGATTGTAMCTTATCCAGTTCTTCATGAAGCTAGTTGGTGCAGTGTTATTATTAGTGTTTACTTCCCAAGGAGAAGGTTGGAGGAGAAGACGTGCCCGGCCTGCCTGTTATGCACATAACTGTGTGATTAGCGAGTGGTCTGTATGGAATAAATGCTCTCATGTCTGTGGCAATAGTGGAGTACAAACGCGAGCTCGAAGGAAGATTGAAGTTGAGTCTTGTGGAGGCACTTGTCATCACACATTGAGTGAGACAAGATCCTGTAATCGGCACTGCTATAATGGAGGAACACCRTTGACAGGCCATTGTAAATGTCAAGACGGATKCACTGGAAGATGCTGTGAATATGGTAAGTTCTAGTGGGATTTTGGGACYAGTTCAACGTCAATCAAATATTTCAAACATGGTATGCAGCACATTCCATCAGTCTTACATCAAGTAACTTTCGGTAAACAACCCGCCTGGCTACATGTAACACAGTGTAAGCAATCTAGCATACTGAGTGCTGTATTTTGTTGTTTTCAAGAAATTAAAACAGATTGACTTAAAATCTGGTACACACGATAGAGCTTGCTCGCGAACCATAAAACCCATCCTCAACACCACCCGATTTCAATAAAAAAAGAAAATGATGCTCCCGAGTTATACTCCTCGAATAAAAGTAGCAAAATATGAGGGAACAATCTCCGGGGRCAAATCTGTTGCGGATCTTATACTCCAAGTGTACTGTATATCATATGCTGTTGGTACAATTTTGAGGTTTTTATGGTTTTCGAGTCAATTTGTCGAGTCCAGTATAAGATATGCAATTAGTCATCTCGGATAGCTATAACGCCATAAAAATGGAATCTTAAAAATTCACATACATAAAAAAATAACAAAATGTTGCACATTAAAAACTCTGTGATATCCTGTACAATTGTTGCGTACAATATTTTGACTGGTGTATTGTCAGGGTTTTGATTCGTTTAGTGTTTTTGAACGGCCTGTGTGTTTTGTCGGTATTCCACTTGCACTCACTACGACTGTCCGTACCTCGCGCACTGTGATGACGATCAATTCAAGTTTTATTATCTTTGCGTCAATAGCTTAGTAGTGTGTAATTTCTCTTTTACTGATAACCACTTTATTTCACTTTATTTCAGACATTTCAGACAGACGATCGCGTAAAGGTAACTCAATTTTCAATCAATTTGTTTCCCAATATATTTATTATATCTGAACTCGCACAAAGAAAGAGAAAATAGAAAATATATCTTTCGTTAGATTTTGTATATTTTGACAAATTACAGTTGTAATTTATTCCACTCTCTTGTACTTTATTCTTTGACGTCTTTAATAAACTACTTTTTCTATCTCAGATGACGATTTCCAACAGGAAGGTAATTGACATATTTAGAGGATATTGCATGGGCGCGCGGAGATACGGATTTTATCTTGTTGAAAAGATCTCTCACGAGTGATTTTCAATTCGTGTTTAAGCGACCATGTTATATTCTGTTATGAAAATGATTTAATAAACAGTTTCAAATGACATCTGAGTTACTAATAAAGTAAACTTGTTGTATTTCAGATCCAAGTGCCAAACCAGGTATTCACTGAATACAGTAGTCTTTACAATGATYTACATTAATCAATGACGAATGTTTTGCGGGTTTTATTTTTGTAGGTCAAAGCTCTGGAGTTATTGGTCTAATAGTAGTTTTATCGATYGCTGGTATTTTAGGGTTTTCCGGCGTCGTAGTATGTTTATTTAAAACTGAATGTTGCAACAACTGCTCCTGTTTTATCTGTTGTAATTGAGAGACTAAAAAAACCTTATTCCTGTAAACAGTGCCATAGAATGCATTATGGCCGGCAACATCATGAGTCCTGATCCAGTTTTAATGAACACGGTACCCTTGCAMTATTCTTCAGTTGTATTCTGCTCAGTTGTAAAAGTGCATATCTTGTGTAGAATTTTGTTTAATGACCTCTTTTTACCGCAGACCAGCTGTGGACTTGCTATTAATGATAGGATTTGATGGATCTATGTATCAAATGCAGAGTTTCTACTAATAAATACAGAAACTTCTAAGCTTCTCTCCAAGTCACTTAGCTCGACCAAAGTTAGTATGGTTGGTTAGATAGTTATCTAGCTTTGAAGGAAGGGGGATGTAGTCTAGTTTTCCCCCGTTAAGGATGGGGGACATGCATGACACAATTTTTTTCAAGAGTGATAGGGGTGACATCATTACTAACTTTTGTGCTGAATTCAATTATTTCTCAACTTCCTCCCTCCCCCTCGAAGTCCATAAGATTATTGTAAATTAACAAGGACTACATATTCAGAGGTCAAATCTTGGTACGGCGTATGAAAATCAACTAGACGCATAAATGCGTCAATTATGCTAATTAGCATTAGCTTCGTCCAAGGCTTAGTATTTCTAAAAATGTGATTCCATAACTATATGTAGCTATTTAGATTGCACAGCTGACACATCTTTCGTCTTCTGCTAATTAATCATTAGCGATAGGAAACTGTTGATATTTAGAAAGATACTAGGGCTGTCCGCGACAGAACTGAACTGAAGGAATCAGTAATATGTCAGTCATGAAAAAAGTTGACTTCTTAAGACAGTAATAAATCTTCCGTTAGCAAACATTACATGCATTCACCAAGAAAAACATTGAAAACTGCTGTCATTSTATAGTCGATAACAAAATATTCGCAATACGCATGCTCAGTACGTAACCTTCAGCGTTGGACATGACGACATGTTTGATGCGCCGASTAGTGAGTGCTGCATCTATCGGGTAAGTGTACAGAACATATAATGTAAAAGAATACCAAGCCGAAAATACTCAAAGTGTTAGTCGTCAATTATCAAGTTATCGTGATAGTACAGACAGAAGCTATGACAGTTTTCTTGTTCTGTGAATGTATTTCGTTTTGGGACCGATTCAAAGTACAAATCTTTTCTATCAAGAGCATGCCACTGAGTATCCTACGCCGCGTCTGAACGATCGCTATCATTTTCACGATTAATAACGACACTCGTAATATTAAAAGATTAGTTCTAATTCTGCAACAAAACAGCCAGAACTGGAGTCTTGTTGTCAGTCCAGCAAGACTCTGCTACTGAAATGAGGTGATGACATTACTAGTACTTCGTCTATCGTATTCATAGTAGACAAAACTATCGCTGAATTAACTCTTTATTTCTTACATTTGCATTGATATTACAAAAAGATCTAGTTGTTTCGAGGAAATTTGGCTCTTGACTATTCAGACTCAGTGCAAATATGGCGGGTTTTGCTGTCATAGCAACCAGGAAAACGAGGAAGTAAATAGACCACTAGAATCATGCAGAATGGAACGTCACTAGAGTACAAACACTAAAACTGTGCAACATAAATACCACTAAATACTGCTAAATTATGCTAATTCTATTGTTTTCTATTGTTTAATTGACACTATTTTGTAGTAAATGGAGGAAAGTGTTGCACACATTTAATGTTTGTACTCTATTGACCGTCGCTTAAGCAATTTATCAGGTGACATTTATGAGAATAAACTCTTGTTAAATTAAAAAGGACGTATTACTCTTCTTTTAAGTCATTCACAGCGTTATTTTGTATTTACTATGAATTTATTTTACATCAAAAAAGAAATGCCAGTCTATTTTGAATTGCAAGAAATTATTGACGAAAATAATTATTCAGAGAACGTGACGGTACTGGCTGCCCATCCCATCCCATACATAATTTCTTCATCCATATTTCTAGATTGTTATCATCCAGTTCTTGATTAAGCTTGTTGGTGCAGATACAGTGTTTTTATTAGTGTTCACAACCGAAGGAGATCACGAATATGGTAACCTCTATTGGGATTGTCTGGCCAGTTTTGGTTTTATTAGTGTCCACGACCCAAGGAGATCACGAATATAATGGTAAGCTCGAATGGGATTGTCTAGCCAGTTTGTCGAGCTGGCATATTGAACAATACCCTGCGAGCAGAGTGTATTTCCTTACCTCAACAAAATTATTTTTATTGAGGTAAGGAAATACACTCTGCTCGCAGGGTAATTGAACAATGTCAATCAAATGATTCTATATACTAGAGAATTACGTAACCATTCATTTGAAGTAGGCAATTCGTCTTTGATAATTGTTTTTTCTATCTCAGATGACGATTTCCAACACCATAAAGGTAACATATGATGATTATGTAATAGGATGATTTTTTTAATATTGAGTTTTAAAAACTACTGGTTACCATGAAAGTTTTTCGTTGTCTTTCAGACCCAACGGACGAATCAGGTCAGTATTAACCAATGAGTTATTGTTCATGATAGCTATTCTTTATAAAGATCTATTTTAATAAAGTGTTTTTGTGGGGGGTTTTCTATTACCAGCCTTTCACTGGCTGGTCCTGCATGGCTGTGACGAGGGTTTTTTCTGGAACTCCTGTTTCTCTCCCTCAGTAAATATCAATATGCGAGTGGAGTGATGCGTACATCCATCCGTCCATCCGCCGTCCTTCAGTTCGTCTTTTTTTCTTTTGATTCATTTTTTTAGATGAAGGCCTTGAAACAGGAGAAATTCTAGCGTTGATCATTGGTGTTTTCGCGGGTGGCGTCACGTTTGGTCTAACCATAAAATGTTTCTGTGAAGACTGTTGCAAGAATTGTTGTAACTACTGGTTCAATCAAGGGAAAGTGAATGTCCAAGATGCAGAATATCGAACTGATGGTCGAAGACTTGCCTGGACCGCTTGACTGTTGGACACCGCGGTAGTGTACGATAAGAGTACTTACTAGAGTATTCCGCCGCCCATAGATATAAGATTAACATGTCTACTAGAGGCAAAGTGCAAAAAGTGACTTCAAGATCTTTCTGAGTTATATACTTGTTTTGAAGCATTCTTTATTTCAAAAGCCATGGAGCACACCGTGTCCAGGCAACGTTAAGTGTGTCCAGGCTACGTTGAGTGTATGGTATTGTGCCTGGACACGGTAATTAGCCTGCTAAAATACGAACAACCCACACGGTTTTGTTTCTTCGTAAACCATGAGAGTAAACATTGAATAGGATAATGACCTCGCTCTATGCATTAGAGTACAAACATTAAATGTGTGCAACACTTTCCACTATTTACTAAAAAATAGTGTTGATTAAACAATAGAAAACAATAGAATTACCATAATTTAGCAGTATTCAGTGGTATTTATGTTGCAGTTTTAGTATTTGCGCTCTATCCTATACATAATCCTCAGAGCTCGACCATTATCCAATACATACTGTGCAAGAAGAAATCTGGTGTTATTAAAATAGTCCAAAACAAAGAAAAAATGCGCACTTCTTCGTAAATACGCAATCAAGAGTAAACTAACCTTACAGGAATTACATCTGCTATTTACTAGTAGTACAAATGCCCTTTTTGTACCTCTAAGTTGGCAGCATCTTGTTATTCACGTTAAATAGTAAATATACCAAAGAGTAATGTTATTCATTGAGTGTTGTGGCAACTCATAACATCTGATCACGTGACAGGTATATTAAAGTCGAAATACTGAGACTCTAAAGTTTTGATAAGTGCTAGTGTGTTTAGGGGTTTCTGCCTATTTGTTTTGCACAATTCTCGACAATCTTTTTACCATATAAATATACCTGAACATAAAAGTT